TATATACTAAGGAAAATCCAAATATTTACAAAAAATACTAAGGAAAATACAAATATACATAAAAACACTAAGGAAAATACATACAAAAAAATATTGAGAGAAAAATAATTAAATAAAAATAAAATAGCTCCTATCAATTAACTGCTAGTTAGTAACTGTAGTTATATAGCCTAAAATTTCTTATAAGCATGCGGAAAATTAATTGTGTAGTAGGTTATAGAATAGGAGTTGTTTGAAGGAATTTGTGGATGTGGTACAACGTATGGAGATAAAGAAGGGGTTCCAAAAGGAGGTAGCATGAATGACGAAGGATTTGCTGAAGGAAGTGATTTTATGGGAGGGAGTATATAGATATATAGGTTGAGATTTAGTATTAAGAGAGTGGATAGAGGAACGTAGAGTATGGAGTACTGGGATGTAGGGAGGATTTTTGGTTCTGAAAACTTGGAAAAGGAAAATACCAAGAAAAAACTACTGCAGTATAGGACTTCAGTGGGAGTCTTGGGCCGACAAAAGGAAAAAAAAAGAAGGAACTGCCATCGGGAAGCAGGATAGAGACACTTCTACACACTGTACAAGCTGGAAACATGGGAACGCCTAGGAATCCCAAAGATAAATCTTATGAAGCAATTCATAAGCCACTTCAGTCTAGTGGACAGTCTTCCATACACCAAGCAACCGTAGTCGAAGTGGGGGAATAAAAGGGATGTTACAATGAGCTGTCTGGTTATTTCTGGAATAGAATCATGGAATTGTTTAAGGATTGTTATGGATTTACGGGAAATCTGGGAAATGTGGTAATTCCAAGAGAGGTTCTGATCAAATACTCCGAGTTTTTGACTGTTGGAAAGAAATGAATGCGATGGTTATTGAGGTAAAGTAGAGGAGAGAAAGGAAGAGAACTAATGAGATGCTGAAATCTATTGAAAAATAGTAAAATATTTATCAGAAATGAAGCCGAATTTTCACAAGTACCAGCTGAGGCAGGAGAGAGCATTATGAGTGGTAATAAGAAATTAGCGCTCCTCAACCCCATCTGAAGTGATAAAGGAGGAACTAACGACACTTGGTTTCAAAGTATGTCAGGTAACCAATGTATTGAAAGAGAATAAGGAGCAGCCAGGGGTGAGAAGTAAAGTCCCACTACCAATGATTTTCGTTGACCTGGAGCCAATACCAGGTATCGAAAAAACATATGAAACACCAGAATATTCTACACAAGGGGGAAAATTCAGAAGCCCTATCCCAAGAGAAAAATTGTGCAGTGCCAAAATTGTCAGTATATCCACTTGCCGCATTGCCTGAAATGCAGTGAACAGCACAAATCAGCAAAGTGCACCAAACCAATACAAGATCCTGCAGTTAGTGCCCTATGCTTGGAGGGACATCTGGCAAACTATAAGGGTTGCCAAATTAACAAGACCTCTAACCAGATACCAGAAGACCCGGATTCATGACAAGACAACCAGGCCAAGAAGAGAACCTGCAAAAATATTGAACTCTAGAGTTTCATTTTCCTATCTACTTGGAGGTAAGAACCAAACCGATAATTGTGAAGCCCTAACACAACAACCTCAACCCTATTCTCAAGATTCTATATATCCTAATATACTTTACCATCAACATCTTCATGGCGTAGGGATGTGGCGGTCTCATCGCCCGGTCATTGTACCGCCATCAGCCACTGGCCCTCCAGGTTGGGGGAACACTTACACGAACACTCACACACCAAGTACACTTTATACAGCACTCTACAACACCTAAACACTACAGACAAAGGTCATCTACAGTACACACTCTAGGATCACCTTCCCTAGGTAGCCACCCCAGATGGTGGAGCTAGTCAGGAGGCTCGGAGGAGGCAGCCCCTCTACCTGACTCGGGGGCAGTGGGCTAATAACCCACCCTCCCTAAAGTACCTTATTACGAAACCTCAAAGAGAAGAAGCCGGACTGAATTACGGTAACAGACCCAAGAAACGCCTAAATGACCTAAGAATTGGATTTTGGAACATTTTATTATTGCATAGACTAGGAACACTTCGTGCGTTCCTTGCAGAAGTGGACACATACAGAATGAACATAGCAGCTATCCAAGAGGTCCGATGGATAGGACAGGGAATTATGGAGAAGAAGTGATGCAAGAACCCTGCTTGGCGTACGGAACTGGAGAGGTGCAACAGAAGACAGAGCTAACTGAAGGAGGCCCAGTCTCGGTAACGGGATGTCGTGCCACAAATGTATGTATGTATCAACATCTTCACCAACATCCTCATATTCCTCCTCCTTCAAATGCCACAAATCTCACTAGTTTGTTGGCATCTTTTCTCATCCACTTCAAATCACCAAACCACCCCACACATATAACTTTTAAAAATCTTGTGTTTCACCCCATCCCTCCTTTAATAAATCCCTAAATGACTTCCACCAAATCCTTATCCATCCTCCTTTGGAATAGGAATGGTGTTATAAATCATACAGACGAACTATATACTTTATTACTTGACAAGAACACTGATGTAGCACTAAATAATGAAACTCGACTAACCACTAAACAACTCTTCAAAATACCGCAATACTTAACATATCGTACTGACCATCCTGATGGCAGAGCACATGCTGGCACTGCTGTCATTGTACATCAATCCCTCTCTCATCATCCACTTTTATTACCTACACAAGATTTCCTACAATCCACCGCCAATGTAATCAAAACCTTCTCCTTTCACGTCACCCTAGCATCAGCATATTTCCCTCCTAACAGATCCATATCCATTGTCCAGTTCAGTTCTCTCCTTAGCTCTTTAGGACAAAACTTCATCCAGGGTGCAGACTTAAATGCCAAGCATCAAGAATGAGGTTGAAGAACCACGAATTTTCGTGTTATGCTGTCTGCACACAATTCTCAATGCCTCCTTCCTACCAACTCACTTACCTACCTACAGGACCACTGATCCTAACCACAATCCTGATATCCTCAATTTTTTTATCCACAGTGGTTTACTTCCCCTCAATCATTCCCTTACCCGACTTGATGAACATTCCTCAGATCATATACTCCAATTACCGCTCATATTCCTAATCCATCTCCACCATACTTCATCAGAGGCCAAGTTAACTGGAAACTTTTTCATCAAACCTTTTCCGATAAAATTGACCTTAGAATAACCTTGAAAACCCCAGAAGACCTTAACAAAGCCCTACATTAATTCACCACCACCATTCAACAAGCCACATGGACAGCTTCCTCTCCAAATCAATCCTCAAGAACCCCTAAGGAAAATAATTTACCACAACACATAAACCTAATCCATACCAAAGACTGTGCCAGATTATTATGACACTCCTAGTAAATCTCCTGGATACGACCTTCTAACCCCCCAAATCTTTTGACAACTTCCACCCAAAGCTATCATACTCCTTACATATATTTATAATTGCATCTTAAGAACTACCCACTTCCTTCTCTCATGGAAACATTCCTGAAACCAGGCAAACCTTCCAATAATACATCATTCTATAGAACAACTAGCCTACTCCCAATCCTTTAAAAAAAAAATTTTAAAAGATCCTACTTGAAAGAATCCTACCCATAATAGAATCCCGAAAAATTCCTATCCATCAATTCGGATTTTATTTCCAACATTCCACTGTCCAACAAGGAGTCCAAGTTGTTGACCATATTTCCTCTGCCCTAGAAAAGAAGCAATATTGTTCGGGTTCATTTCTGGACACAGCGCAGGCTTTTGACCACGTCTGGCACACTGGATTGCTCTTCAAGCTTAAATTTCACCTACCACAGTCCTTATATCAAATATTCCGATCCTACCTCCCTGGCCGCTTCTTTTAAATTCGGTGTAGTATTGAATTTTCCGACTGTTATTCAATAGAGGCAGGAGTTCCATAGGACAGCGTCTTGGGTCACATTCTTTTTACCACAGATATCCCTGCCCATCCCGATACCCTCCTGACAACATTCACTGATGATACCAATCATTCACTATCTTTTCAATCAATTCAGATCCTAAAACAGCATGGTTAAACCTACAAATGCATCTCTCCCTGATCGAACACTGGTGTAAGAAATAGCGCATTATGATAAACAAATCCAAACGTAAACACATTACATTCGCCCTTTATCATAAATCCTGTCCACCAGTTTATTTTAAATCCATCCAGCTTCCTTTCTAAGATAACGTCCGGTATCTTGGCTTTCTCTTAGACTATATAATAAGGAACCCTCATACTATACTTAAAAGACAGGAACATAACCGATGATATTGCCAACTATACAGACCACTAAAAATAAAATCTAAACTTTCCATTAAAAACAAATTACTGATCTACAAGACAATACTGAAACCTATTTGGACTTACGGACTAGAACTGTGGGATACAGCAAAATTTTCAAACATCAAACGCATCCAATTTTTCCAGTCCAAAGTCCTTCGAACAATTGTCGATGCTCTTTTCTATGTAAGCAACAAAACCCTACACCATGACCTCAACATCCCATTTGTCCTGGACCTTATCCCAGAAAAATTCTCCAAATTTCGCCAGAACCTTAAGTATTATCCAAATCCTCTTGGAAATTTGGATGAAAAAGGTAATGCCTCAAGAATGGAAGGTGACTATTATTTTACCAATACATAAAAAAGAGGAAAGGTTGGATTGCCAAAATCATAGAAGCATTGATGAAAGTCTACAAGGTTTTATCAACTTTTAGAAAGAGATGAAGAAATGTTAGAAGAATACCAGTGTAAATTCCTGGAAGATCTAAAATAGATCACTTCTTTTCCATGAGAACGATTCTTGAAAAATTCCATGAATGGAATGTCGATCAACACCTTTATATCGACTATAAGCAAATCTGTGACAGTATAGAAAGAAATTTACTGTTTCAAAAATTAAAATTTTGGGATGATCCCTGAAACTTACCAGTCTAGTTAAGATGCTAATGTGTTTGAAAATTTGAGGTGTGTTTTCCAAAGAATTTGACATTCAGAAGGGTCTCAAAATGCGAGACCCTCTTTCCTCAGAACTGTTAAATTTGCTATTAAAAGTAGTCATGAGATCAATCCACACAAGGTTAGGAGAATGTATATGGAAGTCCTTCCTGTATAAAGGTAATGTAGTGAAATCCTGTAATGTAGTGATCACAGGAAGGACAGCCATTACGCTCTTAGAAGTCTTGGAAGGAGTATGAAGAAGCTAGGAGAAATGTAGGACTTGTCTTAAATGAAGAAAAAACTAAAATATGGTAACAACCAGGGAGATGAAAGCCAGTAGATGATAAGAAATAAGGGTTAGATAACAGTTCGCAGGAAGTGCCATTGGTCTCTGACAAAAATCGTTCAAAATTGAGATAAACCAAGAGCTCTCAAAATAAGAGTAACCAAGATGGTCCTGCAACTAGTTGTTACATATGGAAGCGAGTCCTGAACAATTGCACTTCAGGAAGAGAGGACACTGAACATATAGGAAAGAAAAATCCTTTGCAGCATCTATGGCCCAACCAAGGATAGAAATCTTTAGTGGATGAAGGCTAATGGCATCATAGTATGATGATCATCATTATAAACTAACACTTCCTCTTAAACCTGTCCATGCAAAGATAACTCTAGGATAAGCAAATGTCGGCAAAGTACAAGTATTTTTGTTTTGATTTAAATTCAAGAAATAACTGAAGAAAAATAAAATAAATACCTACGCAGTAGCTTTGGTTATCATTCAGGCCTTATACAGATAAACAAATGGTTGAAATAATCTTGTGTGGAAGCCTACTCAGGCCATATGGATGGCGAGTTGAAAACCCTGGACGGAGCTTTATTTATCATTAAAAAATATATAACAAATAAACAGACAATTTAACATAGCGTGTATGGGTGATATATGAGGATAGGCCGGATGAGGTATGGCTTTTATGTTTTAGCTTGTATGGCGTTAGTTTGAACAGATAGTAAATAAATCTACTGTTTATATGCTGGGAGAGGTCAAAATAACATTGATTCCCTGGAGCGATTCTTCTACTTATCTCCTGACTGAGATTATTCTTTAAATTTACTTCAGATCACAGGTAGACAAAACTCTCCTCTCACTGGAATCTGTATGCGATATTGATCTCACGAGCCTCAAAGAATTCACCTAGGTTTCCTCCATCACTGGCTCGCATGTATTTAGTCATACCACAAGACCAAATCTCCTGGCTACCCTCTCAAAGTTGATAAAAGCCTCTCATAGGGAACGCTCAGATCCAGCAATAATGTTGATATAATCAGCTTACCACAATAGTCCACTATGTCAATTCAAAATAGCCTCACCAATCTCGATTTGGATTCTCTGGTGGCCTTTCTTCTGCTAAGTTAATTAACAGATTGGGCATCCTTATTGCATCAGCATCCATCTCAAACTCTTCAAGTTTAATATATACATAAGATCTACCTAATGATATTATCCTATAAAGCATCTACCATCGTGACATATTTACACAAACTTATGTATCTACAGAAGAATGAAAATCTTAAAAACATACCTGTACTTCAATGACCATGTTATGAGGAACAAAACCCCTGCGATTACGACATTCTCCCCAGTAGAATCCATCTGCATCTTTATCACCAAATACCTGTTAACCAAATAATAATTTCATTTTAAGAAAAAATAAATTTTATGAGTAAGTAATTAATAGTGTTTTTGAGTTATTATTATGATAAAATTAATGAATCAATGTCCCTTGTAATTCCATCATCATTATCTTTAATCTCCAAGTTAACTATTCAGTGTGAGGTTGCTGTAATTTAGTCCAGGAATCAATGACACTTGTATTCAAGAGACAAACGTAAAGCTGCCAATTCCTTTAATAAATAATAATAAATAGACCTTATTAGGTAAATCCCGGATCACCAAATCTTGCTGCCCAGACCAGGTGTATTTTGGTTGAAATTTAGGCGCTAACACATCAGTTTTTAAGATTCCATCCAACGGAAAGGTAAACACCTACAATTTAAACCAAAACTGTATTATACCTAATAAGTTATAAGCCTAAACGGAAATAGTAGAAATCGAGTGCATTTTCAAAACTGATGCGCTCAAACATATCAAATTTTTTTGTTCCATTCAATAGAACGGTAAACGCCTGGAACTTTTTTTTAAACTTTCAGAATGGTAAAGTGAGTAAAAATCAATCTTGGTAGACTATCCAGGCTGGTGTGTTTCCAAAACTGGAGCAAAAAACAATTTTGGTTTAATGGATTAAACCGAACAGCAAACATTTGAAAATATAATTCAATTTTCTAACCCAAATATCACCCAAAAATCAAAGTTTGTCAGCAAGACTTGGCGATCTGAAATAGGGATTATTGATTAAAGGTATTTGTAACCTTCTTCTTCTTCTTTGTCTTCCTCACAATGCCATTTCTAGCGTCGAGGAGCCTCTGTCCAGCGCAGCCACTCTTCCCGGTCTCTGCTTAACCGCTTCATTTGGTTGAAGGATTTGCCTCTTTTACCTCCGATCCTCTCCATGAACTCCTGATATGAGACTCTGGGACGCCCGCGTGGTCTCTTCCCTGTGGGTCGAGCCTCTAATATCTTTATAGGGTCCATGTCCTCGTTCATGCGGCAGACATGTCCAAACCACCTTAATTGCCTGTTCTCCAAGGTGGTTTTGAGTTCAGGCACTTCCAGCTGTTCTCTGATAGTTTCATTTCTAATGCAATCCCTCCTAGTTTTGCCCACCGATCTATGTAGGAACCGCATTTCCGCTGCTATTATGTGACTATAAAAGGTATACAGACTTATAGACGTTCATCTTGGTATTTTTATCTAGCTCACGGCAGCTGAGGATACTGCTAGCAATGTGGTGATATACTTGATTCGCCTTAGATATTCTATACGAAATCTCAGCATCTATCTTACCAGGGTTAGTAATTAAGGTACCTAAGTAGGTATACTCCTTTACTACTTCAAGAATATCTCCGTTGTAAACCAATTGGACGTCTTCCTCTTCTTCTCCCGCCATAATTATCACTTTAATTTTGGAGGCATTTATTTGCATATCTTTTCTTTGCAGCTCTTCTTCCCATTCTACCACCATTCTTCCCATTCTGTAGTTTCATCTTGGAATCGGCGATGAGCACAATGTCATCCGCATATAAAAAGCTCTGTACGAGGACAATTCTCATATTCCAGTTTCCTATTGTAGTCCATGCAGTCCGACACTTGCAGATTTTATGGATCTCGTCCATAAAGTTTATAAACAGGAGGGGGCTTAAACTATCTCTCTGTCTGACTCCTCTTGCAATAGGGAAAGGTTCTGAAAAAGTTCTGTGCCATTTATCCTTAACACTCCAGTGGCTCCCTGGTAGGTTGATTTCACGGCCTCAATCAAATCTCCCGGCACGCCCTTGGCAACCAAAGGGTTCCAAATTTCTTTCCTAGGAACTGAGTCAAACGCAGCCCTTAGATCAAGAAATGCCAGGTACAGGTTTTTGTTTCTGTCCCAGGCCTTTTCAGCGATGGTCCTAAGAACAAAGATATGGTCCTGATTCTGCCGGCCAGGATGGAAACCAGCCTGTTCACCTTCTAGCTGTCCCTCCACAATCCGCCGGAGCCTCCTTTCTAAGATACAGGTATATAATTTATAGACCACAGAGAGCAGACTGATGGGTCTATAGTTATTGCAGTCCGTTGAACTGCCTTTTTTATGAATGAAGAGTATGCTGTGTATATAGCAACCCAATATAATTGGGCAGCAATCCTTTATATTTTATGAAAATAAAGCGTTTCTCTCTATTCCCAATCCTTTGGAATTTTCTTTCTATCATATACTTCCTGGAAGAGCTTTTGAAGGACTTTAAAGAGTTCATTTCCACCATATTTCAAACATTCTGGGGCGATACCATCCCTTCTCGGTGCCTTTCCTACTTTCAGAGTCTGGATTGTGTCTTCTATTTCTTCTTCTTCTATTACCTCTAGGCTTTCTAGATTAGAGTGCTCTCGTTCTTGGCAGTGACATATTCCTGAATTTTTGGAGGATAGTTCCTGAAAATGTTGTTTCCAGGGATCCATCACCATCCTTTACTGTTCTGATGGGCTTGTTTTTCTTCCTTCTTAAAAATTTAATTTTTTGCCAAAAAGTTCTTATGGATTCACGATGGTTTTCACTCAGTTTTTTACCGAAATTCTCCCATGAACGTTTCTTGGCCTAGATAACGGCTGCCTTGCATTCATTCCTGGCTGTTCGGTAGTTTTGTAGCTTTTCCTCGATTCTATCTTGAAGGTATGCTTTCCAGACAAGCTTTTTCCGAGCAACTATTCGTTGAATGTCCTCGGTCCACCAGTCAGTCTGCTTTCCCTTACTAGATACCTTCCTCTTCCCACATACAGCATTTATAACCTCCATAATACATGACTTTAATTTGTTTCAGATACTTTCTACGTCTGCGTCGAAAGTTGTTGCTCTTAATTTATCTTCTAAATTCTCCGTATAGAGGAACCTCTTTTCTGGATCATCCAAGGCTCTAATATTCAGAGTCTTAAATACCTTCACTTTTCTTTTACTATCTATAATTATCTTTGTATCGGCCACAAGTAGAAGGTGGTCACTGCCTATCTCTGCTTCTATCACTATCTTTACATCAGCAAATATTGTCTAATGTGCCGGTCATATATAAAATAGTCAATTATACTATTTCGCTCCAAGCACGAGAAAGTAATTTTATGAATTCTTTTGTGTGGGTAGAATGAATTCCCTATGAGGAGGTCATTATCAACACAAAAGTTTATTAGCCGCTGTCCATTGTTATTTGTAACCTTCTGTCCATTTAATTCCTGATACTTTTGAGATTGTACATGAGTAGTGCACACCTACAGATCAGGTAAAATTCTGTGACAGGTCACAGTAAATAGGTACAGTTCGGCACCTTTCCAACTGTGACAGATGTTAATCCCTTCTTTTAGTACATAAAAAATATTGCAGGGAAAAAACAAGGTTATAATTTGTCTAAATTGAAATTCAACTTTTTTTTTCCTGAGGAATTATTTCAATATGAAGTTTTCCTCAACCAAACTACTCTCCACAACTCTATCCTTCCATCTAACTGGGGGTCTTCGTCTATTATTTATTATTATTGGTATTCTATCGTCACCTATTCCTCTCACATACCCATACCAACTCAGTCTCCTTTCTTCCGTCACCTTTAGGATATTTTATTTTATTTCTACTATCTTCCTTATTGTTGCGTTTCTTCCCCTTTTGATCGTCAACATTGAGGCTGCTCTCCTCCAAAAATCCATTTGAACTGAAAGAAATTTGTTTCCCTATGTCACACTGAGGTGCCATGTCTCAGAAACAAATCTTTGTATATAAGCTTTTTTTGTTTTTATTAGAATATTACTGCTCCAGAGTAAACAGTTAAGCATTGACACTGCTATTTTACCACTTGTGATCCTTTTTAGGATGTCTGCCTCTGTTCTACCATTACATTCAATTATGGATCCCAAAAAACACAATTGTTCCACTTTACTTAGGTTGCATAATGTTGAGTCGGTGCTCCCTTCTATCTCCGTACACATATATTTAGTTTTGTTGAAATTTATTTGGAGGTCTCCTTGCTGATAATGATCTATTATTTTTCTGAATAGGTACCTTATATCCGTATAGGATGATTTAGAAGAGGATCAGGCTGCTTTTAGACCTCATTGACAGACTCAAGACCACATCTACTTGGGTCAAAACAATTTTGGAAAAGGCATGGGAGCAAGGGAAAAGCATATACCTTGCATTTTTAGATAAAAGGGCTATTGATTCTGTCCCAAGGCAAGAAATATGCGCTGCTCTGGGTGCAAAGAATGTTCCCCTTAAGTTTATTGGAGCCATAAAATCCATTTATCAAAACTCAAAGGGTATTATTAGGATCAATGGAAGGAAATCTAGACCCCTTAATATGAGAAAAGGAGTTAAAAAAAGGGGAGTCTTAGCCCTCTCCTTTTCATCATATTTATTGACTATATCCTAAAAAATATGTAAACAGAGGACCCCATGGACTGTAGTTGGTATGTAGAATATTTCTGTTAGTATGTAGAATGGATGGTATGTAGAATAGTTCTGATATTTGCGGACAATATTGTCCTCATTGCTGATATAAATGAGAATTTACAGAAAGTGGTCACCGAGTGGGAAGCAGAGTTTGAAAGGAAGGGAATGTTGCTAAATGCAAGTAAATTTAAGTTGATGCATATTGGCCGAGAGGAAGGTAATGTACTTGGCCACTGCAGGGGAGAAGCACTAGAAATGGCGGAGGAATACAAATTCCTTGGGACAGTGATCAGCAGAAATGCAAAGATGGATCAAGAGCTCTCTAATAGAATTAAGAAAGCAAATAATATCTATTACCACCTATGCAATACTGTAGTTGGGAAAATGGAGGTGGAGAAAAATGTAAAATTAAATATTTTTAAGGCAGTTTATCTTCCTACCCTTCTGTATGGAAGTGAAAGCTGGGTCCCACTAAATAGGCACTGCAGTAGAATTCAAGCTGCAGAGATGAAGTACCATCGAAGATTGGTCGACTATACAAGAAGAGATCAGGTTCAAAATGAAAAAATTCGACAGAACCTTGGAGTTTCAGCTGTGAAACATATAATTGAAAAGAGACAGCTGAAGTGGTTAGAGTAATTGTATCGAAAGCATGAAGACCAAGAGCCAAGGAAGGTCTTCCAAGCCAGGCCAATTAAAAGGCATCCTCGAGTAAGACCAAGGATGATATAAATAGACAACATCGCCAGCATGGGACAAATAAGAGGATAACGGATAAACTCCATGAAGGTGCTGGCTCGAGATTGTGATGTCTGGCTATCTGGACTGAGGCACCTCCATGCTGAAAGGCACAAAGGAGGAAGATGAAGAAGAAGAAGATACCTTATATCCTCTTCATATTGTGCAATTAATACCTAGTCATCAGCAAATAATAAATGGCATAGGTTTTTTCCTCTTAACTCGACGCCCATTTTCCCATATTTCTTCACCCATCCTTTTAGGCATTTGTGAAAGTATATTTTAAATAGAGTGGGGTACATGCAGCAATCTTCCAATAACTTTTCCATTTTGGAATTCCATGGACAATAATGGGCCTATTTTCATCTGGAACCTATTATTTGTATAAATTTCTCTAATTAGGTTCATTATTCCCATATTATTTATTTATTATTTATTTATTTACATTCCACCCTACCTTGCCTGATGGGCCATACGGGCGTTTGCAATAGTGGGCTGTTATGCAAGACTGCATAACAGCATACTACTGCAAGTGAAACAGTATTAAAATATATTATCTTTGGTGACGTCTTATCAAGGGTGTCCGTCTTCCGGCAGTCTTCTTGGTGTTGGTCCTCTTCTCCGTGCTCCGATGTTGAAGTGGGCTGGACCCACTGCCTCCTTCCAGTCATAAATGAATTTCTTGAACCGAGGGAAGTTCTCCTTACTTACCAACTGAGGAAGTTCATCCTCTGTTAGGACGTAAATTCCTGTGGTTCTCATCATCGTAGCCCTTATTCCTTCAAAAGCAGTGCAGGCCGTGACCACGTGCTCGACAGTCTCCAGAACTCCACAAGTGGGGCATTTGGGATCTATGTCCTGGCCAAAGCCATGTAGCTTAGCTCGAAAACCCCCATGCCCCGTGAGGAACTGTGAAATCCAATAGTCCGGGAGGATCCATTGTGCATCTAACCGCGACTGTACAGTGGGGAAGTATTTTCTGAGAGTACTCCCTTTCGGGGTAGCAACCCACCGACGGCTCCATTCCTCAATCGTATCTTCCCGGATTATCTTCTTCCATTTGTTGGGACTTACCACAATCCTCACCCGTAGATTTTCTGGAACTCCAGCCAAGCCTTCTTTCTTGAATTTATGCTTGGTCACATCTTCTCGCAGGAGGAGGTCGAGAGGTACCGCCCCCGCTAGGACCTGCACTGCTTCATGTGACGTTGTCCTAAATGCTCTGGTGACACGCAACAGGGCCATCCTCTGGATCGACGTCAACCTTTTTCGCTGTCACTGTGTGAGTTTCCTATACCAGGAGGGAGATGCATACCTCAAGATACCCAGCACAACGCCTTTATAGATCGTCATCGTTGCAGGGTATCTGAGGCCCCAGAATGCACCCCCAACACGACTGAGTCCGTTCAAGGCTTGGGTCACCTTAGTTGCTAGATAATCCAAGTGAGGTGTTATATTTAGGCCTTTTCCTAACCTTACACCAAGATATGTTACCACCTCACTTGGGCGTATTATTTGATCTTCTATATCCATGCTAATGGGGTGTGCTCTATCAGTCGTGCCTTTCAAGAGGATGGCTTGCGTCTTTTCAGCAGCCATACGCATTTTCTTTCCCTCACACCATCTGGCTACAAGGTTGACACATCGCTCTGCTGCTAGTTTGATCCCCGCCCTGCTGTTGGATGCCACCACAGTAGCTAGATCGTCAACATAGGCAGTGGCAGAGAACCGCTCATTTTCAAGCACTCCCAGCAACTCATCAAAAACCAGCTTCCATAGAGCAGGACCAAGTACTGATCCCTGAGGGCATCCCCTCTACCTAGTAATAGCTGCCTTTGATCTTCACTCGCCTGTCCTGAAGATAGCTCCTTACGAGGGCATATAGGTTGCTGGGAGCGTCATATTTTTGCAGCTGCTGGAGTACGCAGGGCCACCATAAACTATCAAAGGCGGAGGATATATCAAAAAGGAGCAGCATGACGTATCACTCAGCCCTTTCTTCAACATCTCTGCGAACTCTCAGCAGAGCATCAGCGGTTCCTCTGCCTCTGGTAGAGCCGTATTGCCGTGGATGGCTTGCTTGATTGAGAACTGGCCGTAACCTGGTCATCATGAGGTTCTCCAGGACCTTACTCATTATTCCCATATAAGTTTGCGTGGCACACTTGCGTCATATGCCTTTTCCAAGTCAATAAAAATTAAATTTAGTCTTTTGGACTTGTCCGTTTGTTTCCCTAATAGCTGCGTCAGAGTGACAATATGATCCATACAGGACCACTATGTGGATTTAACATTGCTCCTCAGCTTGAACATACTGCTTTTCCGATTGCGCTTTTACAATTCTTTTTAACAGTTTCATGAATGGGTCTGTCACACAGATTCCTCTATAATTTTCACATTATTTCTTTTACCTTTTTTAAATATTGGTGACAAATACCCTAATTCATTTCTTGAGGTATTTTCCACCCTTTAGGATTTTATTAATAAGGTTTGTGAGCACCATACTTCAACAGCTCTTCCTTCATTAGTCCTTTAAGCACTGACCATGCTTAAGTCACTTTTTCAAATCCAAACCTACTGTTAATTTGTGCACATGGCCTTTCCCACCAGTCATTTTTGTTTTTTCTCTTTGATTCTGTCTTCTGTGAGCCATTCTGTTCTTTTGTTCCAAGAACTTCAAAGGCAATTCTCTTTAATGAACTAGTCAAAAACCAATAGAGTTATTGAGTGCTATCTCCATTAAATTTGTTAAGTAATTCCCTTATTCTTTGTAGAAATAAGGGTTTCTGATAGCTTCCCCCTGTAATGGCTCAATCTTAAAGACATCTTCCTCTTTCTTTATAATTTTTAAAATAAGTTAGTTTTAAGTGTAATTTATAAATAAAGTCTTTCATTATTTTGGGTCATGCATTTTTAAAGGAATCAGAATACTAATACCTATTACAGTTTACATCCAGTATACTTTCTAGAAGTTATTATAACTGAAGTATAAATGATATAATCTTAAGCTATAATGTGTGCTTATTATATTTTTATATCCATTAATGTAGAACTAAATACCTTGATGGTGTCACCTTCTGTAAAAGGCAACTCTTCATCACAAGCGTCTGGGTTTGGAGACATAGTTGTTGGATCATAATCAAATAGAGCAACAAACCATCTAGGGCGTTTTTCTCTTGATCCTTGTTGGTGGGGTCCAGGATGAGGGACTCTAGAACCACGATAAGCTGGCCTGTCTCTTTCTCTAGCTGCTCTGCCATCTCCTCTTTCAGAATAAAATTGGTCCCTAAAAGAGATAGATACATTTTTTAATTACTAAAATATTATGATACTTCCTGTACATTTCATAACTGTGTTTTAAATAAATTCTAATTTGTCTTCCTCTTAATGTCATTGCTTGCGTCAAGGAGCCTTGATCAAAAAATACCTGGTAGGAAATTCAGCCGCAAAAATTTCCAGCTTCTCTGTTATCCATTCATTGCTGATTTGGTACCTCCTGATCTTTCCAATGGTTCTATGCAGGAATTTCATTTCAGCATCTGTCACACGTCTGGTCTAATTGTCAAACAGAACCCAACTTTCACCTCTGTAAGTGAGGGTTGGGTGGTATGCAAACTTGCATATATGCCTTTTAGTTTCCTTACCAACATATCTGTACCCCACTATGCTGTTGCAGACAGGGTAGTAAACCTAGTTGGCTTTAGAAATTCTATTAGATATTTTTGGGTCAATTTTCCCCATAAATTAAATATATTTTAAGGCAGAAAAAAGTATATACATTTATAATATAGAATAAAACAGAAGAAAAAATATCCTGAGAATCTATCCCTAAAAAGAATAATAGAAGTCATTATGAAAATATAAAATTCCTTATTAATTCCACGATAAGATCCTTTAATACAATATGTTAATATATAACACCTCCACTGTTGAACCAAGGTTTTTCACCTAAATACATCATAATATTTTTTTATTCATAAGAAATACTATTAAAGCAGTGATAAAAAAAAGTGGTCAGTTTTTAAGTACTTTGATTAGTGAGTTTTACTAAATAATTACATCAACTTGGAAGGCTGATGGATGTTTTTGGAATATTTTGAATGGAATAAATATTTGAATTTATATATATAATCAGCGATAGGTGTGAATGTAAAGAAAAATGCAATCAAGATCATGCCTCCTGTAATGTATGAATATTTAGGAGACTAAGGTGAAATGCTTTAAAAGAAGAAGTCTATCTATCTCCGAGCCCTTTTGGCACTAGATTCCTGACATGTTATCATGTACTTGAAAAATATTTAGCAAATCAAACAAAGAAAATCGTTCTATTTTTTATAGCAAAAAAACTTTAATGAAGATTCATTAACTGAGCTCAAATAATTTTAAAAAATGTTTTTGATAACTAAAAACCTTTTTTTGTTTATTTAATGAAATTTACAACTGTATACAAATACAACCAGTAAGTATGTATAAATTAAAAATAATGACATGAACAGACTTGAAGAGATACTACCCAATGGTAGCACTCTCTAAATAATTCTAGGTAAGAAGATCACGAGGCCATATTTTTTTCAGACACCTAGGAGGATTATCAGAAATCGAGGAAGAAGCAAGGCTGGAAAACAAATGGATTCGTTTGGGACTGGAATTTATCATGAAAGGATAAATATCTGGCTCAGGCTAAATTAGCGACATATAAAACATTATGGTCTTTATGAATGGTTTCATTTGTGACAAAATATGGGGCATTCAGGATTTTACGAAGGATTTATGATTGTAAGTTTTGGATACGATAGGAATTCAATGTTTTGGTGGAGCCCCAAAGCTCAACTCCATATGTCCATATAGGTCTTATTATAGTTATGTAGATGAGTCTTTTGTAATTAATTGAAAAAGTTTAGAGCACATGAATAAGTGGAATATTATTGAAGGATATTGTAGGACAGGAAGTCATAGGTTTAAGATGGAGGGTAAAGGTGATTTGATGGGATTTATTTTCATTCTCCAATTTTTACACCTTTCTTCAAGGCTTATGATATGTGATTGGGGAGTTTGGGGTCATTATTAACAGATAGCAAACATGTGTCATCAGTGTACATTAAAAAATTAAAGATTAAAAGTTTGGAAGAGGTGTTAACCAAATATTTGGGATTTTTCTTCATCAGATTTGGGCCAGGTTTGGAAATCAGTTAATAGTGGATGATTAAAGTCTTTAAACTTTAGAAGCTTTTTTGTGGTTGTCCATAGAGATTAGTCAGTAGCTATAAGATTTTTAGTTAGGTTAAGTAATTTTTGAGTTTTGAATTTTCTAATTTCTATTTTTAGGTTGTTAGTCAATTCGGTATATTAAGTTTTATCTGAAGGGTATCTAGTCCTATGCCATTTCAATCTTGTTCTGCATTTTTCCATTAATAAGATTAGAATATTTAATGGCAAGTTAATATGTTGTGAGTTATTATTTTAATGATAGATGTGTTATCATTAGAGGTAGGATTTTCATGCAGTAAAAATACGGAAAACATGCAGTAAAAACTCAAAATATGCAAAATCGTACAGTATAAATCCAAAATACGTAAAATTTTGTAATTAACACTTAAGAACATGTAAAATCATCAATATTGTTTAATTTATAACATTAATACATCGAAATCTTATCAGATCTTGAGTTAACCCAGAGATAAAAAAACAAAAATTGAAATGTAACATTGAAAATGAAAATCCAGATTATAATCAACTATTATAATAATGATTATTATCAAATAATGCAGAGCAATGAAGGTTTGAAAGAATAAATGAAGACAGGAATTATAGTTGCCTATGTATATATTACATAGATCAGACCAATTTTAGATATATAACTTTTATTAAAAATAATAAAGAAAACTTTATTTATTAATAGAGTTGAAGTTCCCAATATTATACACTCCCAAACGTTTTTGTTAAAATTTAAAGAATTTTGAAATAGACTAATGCTTGAGATTTTCAAATGTTCAAAAATTAGTAGTGAAGCTGTTTTTCAAAAAAATATTTTTGGGGATTACGTCCTTTGTAAAAAATAAAAAATATTCAATTCTTAGATAAAAATATTTTTTCTTACTTGTTCCCCTATGAGCGTCTCTATCAGTGATTTCCGATGACCTGATTGATTAATAAGGTGTATAGAACTTTCTCATCAAATTCTTTGTCCTCACATTTCAAATCAGGGTATTTTTATATCCAGATTTTAATTTTTGATGGGAGACTAGATTTTACTTTCAGCAATATAATTTTTTTTTTATAAGAATGAAATTTCTACAAATCGATTCAAAGCCAGAAGTGATACTGATGGTTTGAACGATGAGTGAGGATTCAAGCCAAAACAATAAATATAAATGTCTTAATAATAAAGCAGCTAATTCTAGGAAAGCAGCTTTTTATTATCCAATACTTTAGGCAAGTTCTATTCCAAGAATAGATCTCACTTGTGTTTACTTCATACTTTTGTAATGAATACGATTTTTGCTTTAAATAGAATTATTTGGCTTCCTCATAGTTTTCTTTTTTTAATAATGAATTTAATTTGAACAATATAGTAAAATAAATATTAACACACTCACTTATACATTTGTATTTATAAATCTAATTTAACACACAAGTGCAAAATCGTGCAATTTAAGCCAAACACGAAAAAACGTGCAATATAAAATTTAAATATGTTATTCTACAGGCTCTGAAATGGATAAATGTTGCATGAGTCCGAAGTTTTTACATGCAAGCAAATAAGATGGAAATTATGGTCTCTAGTTATCATTTATCCTAGTAGGTATTGATGTGGAGGGTTTTTCTATGGTTATGTCAATGTCTTTTGTTTTAAGCGGAATTTTTAAGTACTGTTTATTTTCCATATCTTCCTGAAACTTGTCCCATTCAACTCGTCATGAAATCAATTTCTGATGTAAGGGTTTAGGAATGAGATTTGAATGTAATAATAGCAGAACTGGACTATGATCTGATGACAGATCATCCAGGAATTTTATTGTGATTAGAAAAGAGGAAATCTGGGAGGTGATAAATATATCTAGGATATCAGGGCGTTTTTTAAGGGATGTTGGCCAATATGTAGGATTCATGGGTGAGAGGATAGAATAACTATTAGAATACAAGACATGAGATGAGATAGGATATTTCCACGGGAATTGGATGTTCAACAAACCCTATCGTTGTTGTTTAGCATTGTAGTCTTCTCCAGCAATAAAGCGCGATCCAAGTGATTGGAATAAGGAATCAAGAAGGCTACGAGAAAGGGAATTTTCAAGACAGTACACAGCTGAGAATGTAATATGGAAAGGGTGAGTTGATAGGATTCCGAGGTTGATTGAATGGCATCAGTTGGAGTGGAAGGAATTAGAGAATGAGATAAGGATTTATGGATAAGGATGCAAGAGCCGGTGTGGGAAGTGTTATCTGTGTTGGTCAGATCTGTAAGTGATGTAGTCACATATGTAAAAGTTTGATCATTGTGTGAAATGAGTTTCCCTCAGGAGGGCAATATCAATATAATTGTTTTGTGTTCATTGAGGAATGTTGAACGAGATTTTGGAAAGGAATATAGTGAGAAGGGTTATGAGTGATTTTATAGTCTGTTGAAGGTATGTTGATAGGTTTGATAGGAATGTTGAAAGGATAGTACTGATGTCCGGTGATGTTTGGCTGTAAAGTGGATTTGGATCAGGAGATTGTGGTGGATAATTTGTGCGACTAGGTTTATTGGTAGGGGGTTGGGTCTGTCATTGCGTACGAGGAGTTGGGTCAAATTTCTGAGTTACATGTGATGGGGGGTTCATCTGTGGATTAAGATGGGATGGTGCTAGATGTGGGTGCTCTGGCGGAAGTTTGACCCTTAGGGGGAGATGATGAGTAGGGATTTGTTGATGTGGAGGTTGATGCTGAGGATTAGTGGTTTTAGGCTTGGATTTTGAGGTCTGAGGTGCCTGACGATGAGGTTGCTGCTTCATGATGGTGGTTTGGGAGTGTTGCTTGATGGAATCTTGTTGAAAATAGTCCATTGATGTAGCGGTTGATGGGCGTTGTTGAGTAATTTGAGATGTTGTTGGCAGTACTGGGAAAATTTCCAAATTTTCAATTTTGAGTGGTTCTCTGACACTTTTCTGACACTCTGTAGCTCGCAGGGTGGGCTTCACCACAAAGAGCACTTGCCACAGGTTCTTGCCTTGGTTTTTGTCAATTGTCTGATGCGTGTGAGCCAGCACATTTCCCACATCTGGCCTGGTGATAGCATTAGGCTTTGGTATGTAACAGGTTTTGACAATTTGAGCACTGCACTACTATGGGCTTCTGTCTAGGTTCCTCAAAATGGACAGTTGAATATACTAATCGCATTACCTAAAATATTTCAGAATTGTTTTTTGCTGGTTCCAGATCCACGAAGAATAGTGGTACCAGATGATTTACTTTAGGATGTAATACAGGAGAGATGTTCCTAATCCTGTGGGCTATTTGTTCCAATCCAATTTAATAGCGCTTGTGGAGGT